TGCAGCTTGCAGCCAAGCGCCTAGCTCCGCCCTCCTAGGACCCCGAAAAGGCACGCAAGCGCAGAGGGTTAGGGTCTGGGGTTTAGGGCTTAGGTATATATAGGGATAATGGAAAAGAAGACGGAAACTATGTATAAGGCTTAGGACTAGCTTCTTGAGACCCAGACACAAAGGTAGATGTCAGGCTTAGCCTTGGGGATCTAGGGTGTTGTCTTTCGTGCTCTAGGATTGTCCCCTAATGACGACTCATCCGCCAAAACTCTAAATCCTAGATTCCTAGACCTTTGTTAGGAGGAAGCCCTGCTCCAGTTTCCTGCACATAGAAACGGAAAGGTGCCCTTGGATCCCTTACGCACCCTCCAGAGGAAGCGGGATTCAATAGGGAGAATAGTGGCCCCAGTCAGGGGCTTCGTCCAAAACACTGAGTTGTCAAGCTGTAGACCACAGAAGCTGGCAACACGAAACGGTAGCTCCATCTGCAATGGCAGCTACAAGGAAAGCCTTGTCCAAGCTCGAAAGAGATGCGGGCATTTCCAAAAGTAGGGTTCCCCTATTATATGGTAGTTCCCCAAAATATAGGAACCCAATATAGATCCTAATATATTATAGTCCTTATTATTGGGAACTCCAAAAAAAGGTACCCCTAATTTTGGGAAACTCTAAACCCTAGGCCCTAAATAGTAGTTTCCATTTCCTTTTCCATTATCCCTATATAACACCCATAAACCCCCTTTAAAGGGTACCTAAACCCCCATATGTGGCTGCAAAATACAATTTGAACCCGGAGCGCCCCAGAAGAGTCCTCAAAGTCTTGGGAAGACATTAGGACGACCCCCCCACCCTGCAATAGTGACTATAAGGGATAATGGCAATTATATTAGGGTCCTCTTATAGTCCTATTATACCACTATTACAGGGTGGGGGGTCCTCTTAAGGAAGACAAGTCTGGGACAAAAAGAAAGCAGATCCTTACTTTGAGAAATGACCACGTGGCAGTTTCTCTAAAGGTCCCCTATAGAATCTCTGATTGCAACCCCCACAATTTCTTCGCAACCCCCCATTTTTCCCTAGAAACACCCTATACCCTACCAAAACCCTACCAAAACCCTACCAAAACCCTACCAAAACCCTACCCAAACCTGAACGGCATACTGAAGTGGCCTTCGAAATGCCAAGCATCTCAGCTTCTCCGAACACCTGGGGTCAAGGTTCCAGGATTCCAGGGGGCGGGGATTATATGGGAGTTTCCCAAAATTATGGGTACCTTTTTGGGGTCCCCATAATAAGGATTATAGTATTTTGGGGTCTAAATTGGGGTCCCCCTATTTTGAGAAACTACCATATGAGCTATAGTCATAAGCTCCTAGTATCCCCCTTAATAATCCCTATAATCGTCCCCTATATAATCCCCTTTCAGGAGCTTAGACTACAGCTCATATGGCTTATTGGGGTCATAGATATACTTCCTACGTCTCCCTCCCTGAACCTCCACGTACTGCATATACTCCACGCCAACCCCAACCCTCAAACAAAAATCCACAATATGGTAGTTTCCCAAAATAGGGGGACCCCACTATAGACCCCCAAATATTACAATCCTGATTATAGGGACCCCCAAGAAGGTATCCGAATTTTGTGAAACCTTCATATGGGCACCAGAAACTTAACCAGACGACCTATTCTAGGCCATCCTAAGACCGGTTAACACGTAGAGAAGCCCGTAGTAGCCGACCTCAAGCTCTTAATGCGAGAAACTGGAAATGATCATCTAAAAATCGAATATGTTGACTCATTCACTCTGGATTTGAGGAGCTGAGGTTGGAAACATGTGCGCCAGCAGCAATTCTTGATGGCAGCTGTCAATTGAGCTGCAGAAAAACAGGCAACAAGAGATCTCTGGAGACCACTTATAGCTAGCGTGATCCAAAGGGGTATCAGCCTGGGGTGCTAAAATATGATCTGCAGAAGATCCTAAGTGGCCCCTGCATAGCCCCAAACCAATATCAATTGCCCACACGCCCTAGGATGCCGATACTACCTACTAGCTGATAGGAGTTGAAGGCACAGATACTGACCCCAAAACACACACAAATCCTGACAATTGAGTCTTGAAATCAAACCCTTAACATGTCAGAGCTTCTCACACAAAAAAAAAAAAAAAGGTTCCCATTATATATCATATGTTAGCATATTGCCCCCTGATCCTGAGGTCTGGGTCTTGCAGTTTAAACTAAGCTTATAGAGGTTTACGGTGTTTACTGAGGATTTATAACAGGTTTATAGCAGGTTCACAGAATGTTCATCGGATTGATAGAAGGTGTATTAAAGGTTAACGAGCTCTTCTGGAGGATTCCTGGAGGCTTTATTTCGAAAAGGTTTAGGGTTTGATAGAAATGTCTAGAAGGTATACCGAGGTTTCATAGGGTTGGTGTGCAGTCTTGTAGAAGGTAAAGAACTAAAGAGGTTTATGAAGTTCCTGTAGAGCTTTATAGTGGGCTTCTAGAGATATCCCCCACTGTGACTGTGATCTTGTGTCCTGTGGTGCAGTAGACCTTGAGAAAAGGCTTAAAGAGATCTTTTACGGCGGGTTCATTGCTAGCGGGGGTTATGGACATGGTGTGATCCCCAAATTAGATGGGGAATGGGAATGCGAAGCCCAGACGCATAAGTGTACATAGACATACATGTACATATATATATATATATGCACATGTATATATACACACATATACATACACATATATACATATATCCATATACGTGTATATATATATATACACGGACATTTGTAAACATACACCCCTGCAACTCCTGAAGGGTAGCCCTATCTTATCCCTAAAATGCAATAGCCTTGCCGGCACCAAAATCGAGTCGACGCCGGCCTTGCTTGCCAGCAACCCTAAACCCGAAACCCTATGCCCTATGCTTGGGCGATTTAGGGGGTTCAGGGTTTAAGGTGTAGGGATTGGGCATCAAGATTTGGGACTAGAGTTTCAGGGTTTCAGGGATTAGGGTTTAAGGTTCAGGGACTGGGGCTTCATAAGGTTTAGGGATTGGGGTTTAGCAACTAGGGTCTAGGGTTTGCATAGAGTATAGGTGCCAGGGGGGCTAGAACGTACAGGTATAGCGGTATAACCCGTGCGCGTGATAAGCAATCAAAGTTATCTCATATCCATATTGGCATATCAACTCCTGACCCTTCAAGTGGGATGATACCGCCTGCGAGATTGCTAGTTTCTTTACATGGGTGCTGGGACGGGCCTTGGGGTATATGGAGATTCATTGAGATTCTCGGGGCCCCTTGCGGGGAGGCTATATGAGTCTTGTTGATAAGCTCCCAGTTGAAGGCACAAGATTCTGGAAAAAAGAGGCATGCTCAGGGAATCCCACAGTTTATGAGAGGCAGGTTGGGCAGTAGTGTATACTGTACAGCTGGGTATGAGAAGTTCACAGCTGAGGGATTAACCCTCAACCCTCGGCCTTCAAGTGCGCAAGGATCCCCAAAACAGGATCTTGCGAACATCGCCCTTGTAGGTGACCTCATTTCCTGCATGTCAAATTCTTTGCCTCTGCTTGTTGTCCGTATTTGCGCGCGTGCACGGCAACTGGCAGTGCAACACAAGCCCACATGTAGGAGTTTCCGTATGCGGGGGCCTCAGGTATAGACCCCAATCTAATATAGCCCCTGATGACAGGGACTTCCAAAAAATACCCGTGAATTTTCGGAAACCCCGTGTGAGGCTCCCTCAGAAGGTGTAGGCTGTAGGGATCTAACTCAGTACGGCCCATGGGGATATACAAAGGGCGTGTTCGGGTGGGGAGTTGCCTGTGGCTAATGACCCACTGCATCAGCATGGGAGACTAGGCGCATATGGCTGAAACTACCCATCTGACATTTCCTTAGATAAGATGCAAGGACACCAAAGAAACATCATGCAGGGATCATCATCGGAAACTCTCATGGGAACTGTAGTCTGAACTCCTGAAAGGTAAGCTCCTGAAAGGAAAGTTATATAGGGGATGATAAAAGGGATCTTTATAGGGCTTTTAAAGAGGAGGCATGTGCCGCGGTTCGTGGAACAGGGAATGGAGGCAACTTAAAGCTGGCCGAGACTTTCCATTCCATACCAACCTTCCTGGTTTTTAGTAGAGGATAAGGGAATACAATCCCTATACAACACCTATATAATGTGTACTATGTATATCAACACCCCAAACGTGATTTGCAAATGCAGATCCCCTTGTCAGAGGTCCCATCAGCGATGCAAGGTCTTAACTCATGGAGAATGCTTCTAAATCAGAACAATACTGATAATCGTAGAGAAAATCGTAATACCCGGTACAAAAGTATAATGGCAGCAAAAAACTGCCAATGATACGAGAGGTAATCATAAGAACAGCACAAGTAAAAATCATGAGAATCAATAACAATGATTTCTTTCCGAAGCCATCACGGCAACCCCCAAATCCGTGCCCCGTCAAAGCTGCGAGACCCAGGCTCCCAGCTTTAAAATCCAGGACCGCTGAACCAACATCCCCTAACTCCTTGTTTGTTTTGGAATATGCAGTACTATTCACTGTTCCTATAGATACATGTTCCTACTACTGTTGTTACTATATATGACCAGAAGTCGCAGTGTTCTTTGCATTACTTCCATTCTTGCGCCCCAGAACACTGCAAGACTTTCAACAACAACCCAACGAACAGGCCTAGGCTCCGTAAAAAGCATGGTCGTGAATGATGCTTTCATGCTATCATAGGAAGTGTTGTCGTTGTGGTCGTGGTCGTCGCG